CTAGAAGAGAGTTGGGAGGAGAAGAAGAAGGGAAATTGGGAGGAGGAGGAGGAGGAGGAGGAGGAGGAGGAGGAGGAACACAGATAGTCCTCACAACCGTTCATTTAGTGACCATTTGAAGTTACAACAGCAGTGAGAAAAGCGACTGAGGACCTTGTTTCCCACACTTACAACCCTTACAGCGTCCCCAGGGTCAGGTGATGCAAAGTCAGACCTTTGGCACAACTGACTCCTGTTTATGACCGTTGCTTCTGACAAGCAAAGTTCAATGGGGTGGGGGGGAGAGGGGACAGAGTCTAATTCTATTGGCTTTCCAAAGCCAATAGGAATTGTCCAGGCTGTCTCTGCCCTGCTGAGCCCGCCAAAAGTCCCATTCTGCAAATGGTGCTGCACCAGTTGAGTAGTCCTCGACTTACGACTGGTTGGGGGGGTTGCGTCATTAAAAAGGTTGAGAACCACTGATCTACAATAACACCCAACAAAAATAGTTGTGGCGTGAACTTTATCTTTCTTTTAAAAATTCTTTGAATGTTCCACCAAATCTTAATCCAAAAACTTTTTATATTTCTACAAGTCCACCAAACAGGAAAAGAGGTTGCCATCCAAGCTACCACATCTCCAGCCTTTGGGCTGTAAATGGGGGCCCCTGGGGTTTTTCAAAGATGCTTGAGGTCAGTTTTCCTTCCCCCCCCCCCTTCCACCTCCCATGGCTTGGCAGAGGAAGGGGGGGAGGCCAAAGTGGGCCTTTCCTTGGATTTCAGCCCGGTCACTTCCAGTGGATGAGCTGAGACTGAGAGAGTCGTCTGCCTTTCCTTTGTCTGCCTTTTCTGGGCAGGCCAAGCGAAGCAGCTCTTTGGGGACGGGTTTCCTCCCATTTTGGGTGGACCCAAGGGGACAGTCCCCCTTCTACCCCCCCCCTCCCCCCATTCCTCCCGGTCATTCATCTAATTGCGGTTGACCAGCAGCAGAAATCACAATGGCTTCCTGAAGAGTTTGTGCTTCTCCTTCTCTTTGGAAGACAATTCCCCCCTGCTGGAGAGCAACAGTGGTACCTCTGGCACACACACACACACACACACACACACACACACACACACACACACACAGAAGGTCGGGGTAGGGCGGGCACATGTGTCCCCCTGCTTCGCTTCTCTGTTTCAGCCTGGCCTCCTGGGATGGGCAGCTTGGTAGCCCTGGAGGAGGAGAAAGGCAACGGCTTTGGCAACCCTTAGGAGACAGGATGGGGCCTCTCATTTGAAAAGAACAATAGAGGAGAGCTCAGCTCCCTCCCTCCCCCCCCCTCTCTCTCATTTTTACATTTACTTATTTACTTACTTACTTACTTACTTACTTACTTACTTACTTACTTATTTACTTACTTCCATGAATCCTATTGCAAAGTACTGGATGGTTGGGGCACCTGATGGAACATCAGTGGATGTCTTTCCTATTCAGTCTCAGACAGATGGGTCATAGACAGACAGACAGAGATGGATGGATAGATAGAGAGATGTGATAGATGATGATGATGAGAGATGGATGGATGGATGGATGGATGGATGGATGGATGGATGGATGGAGAGAGAGACAGAGAGACAGATGATAGACAGACAATGGATGGATAGATAGAGATAGAGAGATGTGATAGATGATGATGATAGATGGATAGATAGATAGATAGATAGATAGATAGATAGATAGATACAGAGAGAGAGAAAATAGATATAGATAGATAGGTAGGTAGGTAGGTAGACAGACAGACAGACGGACAGATGCTAGACAGACAGAGATAGATGGATGGATAGATAGACAGAGATAGAGAGATGTGATAGATGATAGATAGATAGATAGATAGATAGATAGATAGATAGAAAGCTAGATAGATAGATAGATAGATAGATAGATAGATAGATAGATAGATATAGACAGAGGGAGAAAGAAAATCGATATAGATAGGTAGGTAGGTAGGTAGACAGAGAGAGACGGACAGATGATAGACAGAGAGATAGATGGATGGATAGAGGTAGAGAGATGTGATAGATAGATAGATAGATAGATAGATAGATAGATAGATAGATAGAGATACAGAGATACAGAAATGATAGAGATAGATAGACAGACAGATATACAGATATAGAGATAGATAGGTAGATAGATAGATAGATAGATAGATAGATAGATAGATAGATAGATAGATAGATAGAAATCTTTATTGGCCAAGTTTGATCAGACACACAAGGAATTTGTCTCCAGTGCATAAGCTCATAGTGTACATATAACCAGCAAGTAATAGGCCATAGGTCATAAACCATAGTTACAATCATTAATCATAAGTTACAAAGAGCAACTGATAAATCTTAAGAATCCAACAGGAGAAGGAAAGGTGAGAAGATTGGAAAAGATGAGAAACGAGATAGTGCTGTGGGAATTAAGTGTTCAGCAGAGTGATGGCACGGGGAAAAAAAAAACTTTATGTCTAGTTGTTTTGGCATGCAATGCCTTATAGCAGGATCCTGAGAGAAGAAGCTGAAACAGTTTACGTCCAGGATGTGAGGGGTCTGTAGATATTTTCACAGCCCTCTTTTTGACCTGTACAATATACAGGTCCTCAATGGAAGACAGTCTAGTTGCGATAAGGATCCTTTGCAATTCTCTTAGTCTGGCTCAAGCAACTTAACTTGCTGCAAGACACTCATATTGTGCTACCCTCCCCACCACCACCCCTCCCCGTTTCCCTCTCCCCCCATTTTAAGTTACAGAGTTTTCAAGTCACAGCTATGGTTAGTTTGTGGTCTGTTCATGGTCTGCCGCATGCTTGCTCTTCACCCTGGGAAGAGAAAGAAGTGCAGAATTAAAGCAAGCGAAAAATAACGTCAGACATATTGGTTTAATTTCTTGGTGTGTCTGAGAGGCATTCCAGAGTCTGATGCTCAGGGTAAATCTCTTTCGGGTGCCCCAAATATCCCCTGTCTTCCCCAAAGCTGAGTTTCCATGCTCTCTGATGATGCTCTATGTGCTTTGACCCTCTTAGCTCCCGTCCATTCAGGGGTGGGCAACCTTGGCTCTTTGATGACCGGTGGACTTCAACGCCCAGAATTCCTGAGCCAGCCTGGCTCAGCTTGGAAGCCTCTCCCTTTCCCCTCAGCATGGCTGGCTCAGGAATTCTGGGAGTTGAAGTCCACCAGTCATAAAAGAGCCAAGGTTGTCTACCCCTGGGTTACACGGAGTGTGTGTGGGGCACCGTCCGTCATTGTTGAATAACTTTTTCATTACAAGCAGGCCTTGACGTAGGAGCACAATTGAAGCCCCCAAATTTAGGTAGCTAAGTGAGAAATTTTAAAAGTGAGTTTCCCCCCCCCCATTTTTACGACTTTTCTTGCCATCATCGGGGCAAAATAGAGCTGGAAGGGACCTTGGAGGTCTTCTAGTCCAGCCCTCTGCTCAAGCAGGAGACCCTATATCAGGGGTGTCAAACTGCTAGCCCGCAGGCCGGTTGCATCATACGGAGACTGCGCCCACGCCAGCTCTGGCAACGCAAAAAAAGTCACAATATGTCACATGACGCAGCGAGTTTGACACCCGTGCCCTATACTATTCCAGACAGGTAGCTGTCCTTAAAAATCTCCAGTGATGGAGCACCAACAACTTCTGGTGGCAAGCTGTTCCACTGGTTAATTGTTCTCACTGTTAGGATAGGTTAGGTTAGTCTAGGCCAGGGATAGGCAACCTTGGCTCTTTTATGACTCATGGACTTCAATTCCCAGAATTCCCGAGCCAGCCATGCTGAGGGGGCAGGAAAAGGTTTCCAAGCTGAACCATGCTGGCTTAGGAATTCTGGGAGTTGAAGTCCACCAGTCATAAAAGAGCCAAGGTTGCCTACCCCTGGTCTAGGAAGCTCACCGCTTAGAACAGGAGGACTTAGGCCAGGGGTAGGCCACCTTGGCTCTTTTATGACTCGTGGACTTCAAGTCCCAGAATTCCTGAGCCAGCCATGCTGAGGGGAAAGGGAGAGGTTTCCAAGCTGAGCCATGCTGGCTGAGGAATTCTGGGAGTTGAAGTCCACCAGTCATAAAAGAGCCAAGGTTGCCTACCCCTAGTCTACGTTAAGTAAGTTAAAAGTGAAATTAAGAATACGCTCAAAGGCACACCTGAAAGGCCCAAACAGGGTCCAGCTTCTTTTCATTCACATCCTCATAAAATAGGGAAATCACTTTTGAATCTCTCTGAGAAAATGTTTCCCACTAGAGGGGAGCAGAGATCCATGCTTTGTTTCAGCTCCGCTTCCGGAGGTTCGGCTTCTCCTTCTGGTTCAAAAGCCAATCCCCTGAAAGTACTAACACTGATGGGAATGGCGTAGCTTTGACCGGGTGGAAGCGTGCCCAGTCCTGGGATGCTCCTGGTTGCTGGCCAAACGAGAAAGCTTCCCCCTCAGTAGTCTCCACTCAGAGTGGAGAGTATGGGGGATCAGAAATAATTGATCAGTGGGAAAGGGAGGAGGTATCAGCCTGGAATGCAGCACCGACTCCCCTGCCTATCTTTTCATGAAATTTAGCAACAGGGGAGGAAACGGAAGACTCTGGCAGCTGTTCTCTCTGCCACCAAACGGAATTTGCTCACAGTAGAAGACTTCAGGCTGAGGAAGAATTGCTTAAGTACTCACTCCGCTGTGTCGTTTAATGAAGAGGAGTGACATGATAAGCAGGGTTCCAATATCTCAGGGGTTGCCCCAAAGAAGAGGGAGTCAAGCTCTTCTCCAAAGCCCGTGAAGGCAGGACAAGAAGCAACGGATGGAAACTGATCAAGCAGAGAAGCAACCTAGAACTAAGGAGAAATTTACGGACAGTGAGAACAATTAACCAGTGGAACAGCCTGCCTCCAGAAGTTGTGGGTGCTCCAACACTGGAGGCTTTTAAGAAGAGATGAGACAACTACTGATCTGAAATGGTATAGGGTCTCCTGCCTGAGCAGGGGGTTGGACTAGAAGACCTCCAAGGTCCCTTCCAATTCTGTTGTTCTGTAAAGGTCTCCTGCTTGAGCAAGGGGTTGGACTAGAAGACCTTCAAGGTCCCTTCCAACTCTGTTGTTCTGTTATTCCAAAGTTATAGGTGTCTTATTTGGGCATGCCAAGGAATGTGCCAGGTGGGCAGTCTTTTCCCATGGATCCAGTCGTAGCAAGTTTGCTCTTTTGAAGGGAGAAAAACAAGTATTGCATGATCAGTCTGAGAACACAGCAAGAGTAGTTCCCAGGATGTCTGATCACAGGATACTCCTGTGTGCCCAGCCCAGAAGGTCAGCACTAGCAATTGGACAGCACCCTTGAAGCCCTGTCAAGATGGAGATAGGTGGAATGGAATGGAATGGAATGGAGTAGAGTAGAGTAGAGTGGAGTGGAATGGAGTGGAGTGGAATAGAATGGAATAGAATATGGAATAGAATATGGAATGGAATAGAATAGAATAATGGAATAGAATAGAATAGAATAGAATAGAATAGAATAGAATAGAATAGAATAGAATAGAATAGAATAGAATAGAATAGAATAATGAAGAATGGAATAAACAGAATAGAATAATGAAGAATGTAATAAAGAACAGAACAGAATAGAATAGAATAGAATAGAATAGAATAGAATAGAATAGAATAGAATAGAATAGAATAGAAATTCTTTATTGGCCAAGTGTGATTGGACACACAAGGAATTTGTCTCCGGTGCAAAAGCTATCAGTGTACATTCAAGCAATAAGTGATAAATCCTGATCACAGTCATCATAACAATGCATTCATCATAAATCATAAGGTACAACAATTAGGGATAGTCATAGGATACTAAAATAAGCCATCAACATAAATCATACTAGGATACTAAATAAAAACGATATAAATTGTAAGATACAAGCAACAAAGTTATAGTCATAAGTAGTTTGGTTGATAGGTAATATGAAAATGACAATAATAATAATATTAACGCAGTAATACAGCCTTACTAGATAGTTTGACAGTGTTGTGGGAATTAGTTGTTTAGCAGAGTGATAGCATGGGGGGAAAACTATCCTTGTGTCTAGTTGTTTTATTATGCAATGCTCTATAGCAGAGGTCTTCAAACTTGGCTCTTTCATGACTTGTGGACTTCAACTCCCAGAATTCCTCAACCAGGCACGCCTGGCTGAGGAATTCTGGGAGTTGAAGTCCAGAAGTCATAAAAGAGCCAAGTTTGAAGACCCTTGCTCTATAGTGTCATTTTGAAGGTAGAAGTTGAAACAGTTTGTGCCCAGAATGTGAGGGCATCTGCAGATATTGTCATAGCCCTCTTTCTGTAAACAGGTCCTCAATGGAAGGCAGGAAGAAGACTTGGAGAATGAGAAGAAGGCCTGGACCACAAAAGCCACACTGTTTGGCACCTGGTCAGAGGGTGGAGTGCAGTGCCTGTCCGAGTTGTCTTGATTACATAATTGTCAATGCTGCTAACATTGGATGTTTTTGCTTTGTCAACATATGGAGATGCACATTCTTATGTTTTACTCTTAGAATTAGAGTTAGAATTAGATGATACTGGAGGGTGGGAGGAATGTCCATGGGAGTTTAGTTAGACATAACAATACTGTAACCAGTATGAGAATCAAGGTTTTTGAAATAAGAGATGATAAGAAATGGCCGGCTGGAGAACTGGAGGGAGAGTCTGCATTTCAAACTAATTGGAGAATGTGATTTATGACTGTTAATTGGAGGAGGGAATTGTGCTTTGATACTATGTGCTCAGGGGAGGGGAATTTAGTTTTTGGCTTCGATTATGTAAGTGCCAATGCCATGCTTCTCGAATAAAGATTCTTTAAGGTAAACAATGCCTCGAAGTTCTTTGAAGAGTTTCATCCGTCGGAACCATGACAACGATTCAGAGAATTCTCCAGACCTTGTGGTTTTATTGGTTAAATAATGTTTCTTGTGAATAAGATCAACTCCCAAACTCACACCGTCGGACACACCAGCATCTGGCAAACCATTGGAAACGTATCGATAATTCTCGTCATTAGTCTTTGTCTGCTTCCAGGTAGTTCTTGATCGATTATTAATAGCTTCTCCTTTCTTCCAGAAAACTGCGTGGACATCGGCTTGGGCTCTTGTAATGATGTATCTTATTCAAAAACGACGTATCCCAATTTACTGGATCAGAAAACCCGAGAGGCGATTGAATTCAGTTCCGAATACGTCTTGGTGAGTGTCCTTCACAACCTGCTACAGGGAGAATGCAATCCTGACCTGCGAATCTTGAGTTGCTCCATTATGGCTCCGAAGTGTGATAACGGCACGGTCGTCAAGCCTTGTCGAAGGGTGTGCGAAACCCTGAGAAAAAATTGCCTGCCTGCCTTCGACGCAATTGAAATGGCCTGGCCGTATTTCCTGGACTGCGACCGCTTCTTTGTGGGCGAAGCGGAAGGATGCTTCAATCCTCTGGAGAAGCTGCGAGGTAAGAGGCCAAGCCAGGTGGGTCTCCATGCTTGGGAAGACTCAATGTAGTTCCTTCCAGAAGTGATTTTGACTGGACGCCAAGATTTAGTTTGAATCCTTGAATCTAGGGAGTTGACTTTGACTTGACTCAAGTTGACTCCCAAGGTGAATTTGGTCAACTGACTTGCCAACCTTAACTCTTTAAGAAGGAAATCTGAGAATTTGGTCAACAATCAGGTATTAAAGGTCTATGGAGATTCCCCGTCATCCAGATCATGGTTGTCCCAAAGGTGCTTTTCCAGGAGGCAATTGGACTTTCTTGTTTTTCTTTGAAGACATTTCACTTCTCATCCCAGAAGCTTCTTCACCTCTGGCTGGATGGTGGGGAATGGAAGGATTTATACTCCTTGCAGACAGCTGGTCGTTTGCCTTCTTTTAGAGAGTTGTTGAGACCACTTGGAGGTTCACCTGTGTCCTTAGGGTCACCTGAGGAGTGGTGCAAATGGGTGTGGAGCTTCTTGGCTGCAGGATATTTTCTGTCTTGGGTCCCTTCACAGTTGGAGATGGGCGCAGGCGGTTGGGGATAAGTCCATGTTGAGAATGAGGTAAAGGCTTCAACGACGCTCTAAAAGAAGGCAAAGGACCAGCTGTCTGCAAGGAGTATAAATCCTTCCATTCCCCACCATCCAGTCAGAGCTGAAGAAGCTTCTGGGATGAGAAGTGAAACGTCTTCAAAGAAAAACAAGGGAGTCCAGTTGCCTCCTGAGAAAGCACCTTTGGGACAATTAGGGGTTAAGCTGTTGGCCATTGTACCAATTGACTGCTTATTGATTTAGCTGGTGCCAACTCATCTTGAAGTAGCACCAGCCCGTCCAATCATTGCAAACCAGTTGTGAAATGGAATAACCACGTCTAGTGAGGGACGAAGGATGGAGAGCTCCTTCAGCTTGGTTAGCAAAATCCCAATGGGTCCCAGTGCCTGTAAACGGGCGCAGAATAACACGTTTCCACATGCCCTCTCCAACAACTTTTCTTTTAATAACCCAATCAGGACCCACTGAACAGGACCAGAAGCATTTTAGGGAATGATCAGGAAGAAGTGGGAGGCAGGATGGGCCCAAAGCTCTTCTTTTGAGGGATCTTCTGGAAATTAATACTCTTCCCCCTCCTGTAACACCAACTTTGAGGAATGACCTCAATATGCAGTTGATATATATTCCATTCTTGACCCGGGTTGAACAAGCAATGTTGTTGAAGTATCTAGAGCCAGGGGTCCCCAAGCCCTGGTCCGTGGACCAGCACCGGGCCACGGCATGCCAGCAACCGGTCCGCACAAACAAGCAAAGCCCCATCCACGGGATGCAGGCAACACACAAAACCACGCACCCTCCAGTCCGCAGAAAAACCTCTCTCCATGGAAGCAGTCCCTGGTGCCCAAAAGGTTGGGGACCTCTGATCTAGAGGCTGTTGGGGTCTTTTGGGGTGGGGAGGAACAAACTCCGAGTCAAATCTAAGTAAGTTCCTCCATTTTTTTAACCCAGCATGGCCGTATTCCTTAAAGCCCCAAATGGCTACTGAAGGATCTTTGCTTGGCCCTTTGAAGATGCCCATTTGGACATACTCACTGCCTTCTGCTCCACCTTGGCTGAATGCTCAGGGGAGAGGTCCCCCCCCTTCTCCAATATCCTCAGCCTCTCTATAGTCAACTTTATTGTCTCACCAATGTCTTAGAAATTTATTTTAGTGTCTATCCCAGGGGTAGGCAACCGTGGCTCTTTTATGACTGGTGGACTTCAACTCCCAGAATTCCTGAGCCATCATGGCTCAGCTTGGAAACGCTCCCTTTCTCCTCAGCATGGCTGGCTCAGGAATTCTGGGAGTTGAAGTCCACGAGTCCTAAAAGAGGCAAGGTTGCCTACCCCTGGTCTATCCAGTTCTCTTCGTGAAACTAGAGATTTACTACTTATGTGTGTCTGTGTGCATGTCTGTGTTTACACACACCACACACATACATATATGTAAAAATCTCTTGTGGGATTCCTTTGCAGCCTAATGGCTAAGTTTATACCTCATACCAAGCTTTGCTTTTTTTTTTTTTTTTGACAAATGGCCACAGAATTTTATTTAATTAAAAAAGGGGGAGCTATCACATTCTCCTCGGCGAAGGCTCGCGTTGCAATCTTTCCTACTAAATCATAGATCAGTTAGTAAATCCTCCTTGCAAAAAAAAAAGAAAAGAAGAAGAAGAATTAAAGAAAATAGATAAATACATATTCCATGTTCTTTGGCACTGTTTCTGGAGAAAATGACAGAAATTTGAGGTACCAAATGAAATCCAAATTACGATTTGGGTTCTGCTGGTCCTTGTTGCTCAGAGGTTCTTCCTCCGTCTCATGTGGGATCGAGATGTGGCCTTCAATTTTTCCATTTTTTCCCTCCCACCCATCCCTGCCCCCCAAACCTAAGATCCAGATGACAGATCTGAAATACTGAGAATTAACCAAGCCTTGCCTTTGTTAAGCAAGGTTCAATGGATTCACGTGTCGCGTCAAGTCAGAAAGCATGGTTTACAAACCGCATGGATGGGTTCGTATGACATCCGAAGCCAAAGCACAGATTACCGTATGGGGCACTGAGGTATCTGAACCCAATAAAATGCACCTGCTTATTGATTTAAAGAAGAATGTCTGAGATCTTGGTTGTGTTGTTTGTAGGTGGCTGAGAAGATGTGGTTTTCATGTGAGTCGCAGTGGGATGGGTTGGCATTTTAAAGGATGAGACGTAAGAAGGGAGAGTCCAGTTTTGTTCCCCTGCCATGAAATCATCCGGCTTTCAGAGGGATCCCATTCTTCGGTGGGATCCTGTTCTCCAGCACTGGAGACGGAGAATCCACCAATGGGTTGAGACTGTATTCCTGCCCAATCAGATCAGTCAGCCAAAGTTGCCATGCCCGTCCTGGACCACGAGATCCCCAGTCTTGACTGATCTCGCCCAGTGACCAGACGTGCAATTTTGGCTCTTAGGCAGGTACAGTCTCTCTCCTTTTGGTGGATTATCTTCCAGTAGCTGAGAGTTGGTAGCAAGTAATTGGACTCAGTTTATTTGGTCTACTGCTAAATTTTTAAATTTTAAACTTCCAAAGGAGTCTAAAACTCCTATCCCCACGGGGGGATATCACCCTTGATAGAGAAGGGAGAATTCCCTACTCCTCTCCCCAAGACAACGCCCTTTCTCCAAACCCTGGTTGGGTCGTGTGCAAGTATGCAACATGATGGTTAGGACTCCGGGTGTTTTGAGTACAGGTTGATCTCAGGGTGGCTCTTGGTTAAGGTTGTCCCAGCTTGGCTAGCAGGGGCAACGGGCTGTTGTTTGTGAACGGCTAACTAACCGTGATCTACCTCCGTGGCTTTGAATCTCAACCCACCTTGCCTCCCTGAAGGGGAAATAGAATTTGCTGAGGAGGCCCTGAGGGAAGCTCCAGCCTCCATTCAGTTCGCCCACCACTCCTTCCCGCAAATGGTGAAAGTTTTGAAGAAGGTGGTCTCCAGATGTCCCCACATCGCCCGATTGTCCAGCATTGGACGCAGCTTTGAAGGAAAAGACCTCTTTGTGATTGAGTTCTCCACCAGCCCCGGGAACCACGAACTGCGTGAGCAAGACAAGGATGCTTGCAAGGCATTCGCCTGCACCTCTGGTCTCCCCCTCCCCTCCTCTTCCTCCTCTTCTTTCTCCTCCTCCTCCTCCTCCTCCTCCTCCTCTTTCTCCTCTTCTTTTTCCTGCTCCTGCTCCTCCCCCCTCCTGTACCTGCTCCTCCTTCCTTCTCCCTCTCTTCCCCTCCTCTTCCTCCTTCCTTTCTTCTTCTTCCTCCTCACTCTCCTCTTCCTCTTCCTTCCCTCTCCTTCCCCCCTTCCTTCTCCTCTTCTTCCTTCCCCTCCTCTTCCTCTTCCTTCCCCTCTCCCTCCTTCCCCAGCTTCTCCTCCTCCTCCTCCTCCCTTTCCTCTTTCTCCTCTTCTTTTTTCTGCTCCTGCTCCTCCCCCCTCCTGTACCTGCTTCTCCTTCCTTCTCCCTCTCTTCCCCTCCTCTTCCTCCTTCCCTTCTTTTTCTTCCTCCTCCTCACTCTCCTCTTCCTCTTCCTTCCCCCTTCCTTCTTCTCTTCTTTCTCCTCTTCCTCCTTCCCCCCCTCTTCCTCTTCCTTCCCCCCCTTCCAGCTTCTCCTCCTCCTCCTCTTTCTCCTCCCCTCCACTTCCTCTTCCTGCTTCTCCTCCCCCCTCCTCCCCCTCCCCTTCCTCCCCCTCCTTATCCCCCTCTCCCCTTCCTCCTCCTCTTTGGCTCTTCTTCTGTTCCTTTCCAGCCTCTTCCACCCTGGCCTGCTGCTTCCTTCTCAGAAAGCTGTTGTTTCTTTTGCCTCTGCAAAGGACAGCAACACAGTTGTGTGTGGGGTGGGAGGGAGGCGCTGAGTATAGTGCCAGAAGCCTTGGCTGGGGATAAGAAGTCAGCTGGGGAATATGGACGGTGCAGCCTCCCTGTCCTGGGCTCTTGATGGACTGAGGCACTCTGACATCTGTTTGCCAGATGTTGAGTCCTAATGGCGGGCCACCGTCCTGCCAGTTGGGGAGGGGGCCATTTGGGCAGGGCAGCTGAAGCCAAGCTGATCAGAGGCCACTGGCAGAAAAGTTGGCTGTTTGGGAGGCCTCCCCATCTCAGAACGGACTTCAGGAAGTGGCATCCATGTACTTCCGGCAGTCCGTTCTGAGCCTTGTGAAAAAGGGCTAAGGCATCAGCCGACTCGCCGAAGTCAACAAAAAAAAAAATTAGCTGCTGAATCCCACCACTGGCTGTCCTTTTTGAGTATCAGGAAGGTCTTCTGACGAAGCCTGTCCTGACTCGTCTCTCTCCACAGTCAAGCCGGAAGTGAAGTATATCGGCAACATGCACGGAAACGAAGTGGTGGGGCGAGAGATGTTGATCTACCTTGCCCAGTATCTGTGCTCTGAGTATCTTCTGGGCAACACCAGGATCCAGACCCTGGTCAACCACACTCGGATTCACCTTCTGCCTTCCATGAACCCAGACGGATACGAACTGGCCGCCGAAGAGGTAAGCGTCCCAATTGGGATCCAAAAGTTCTTACGTCCCTTTTGAAATCAGCCAAGGTGGGTTCGCCAGGAGAGAGAGAGCCTCATAAAGACATCCTAATTAGCCCCTTTGGAACTGATTGGAGTTTGAAAAAAATATCTCCAGACCGATTTTATGGTCAGTGGCCTGGCCAAGATTTCATGGGCTACTTCTAAAGCGCCTGAAGGCAGGACAAGAAGCAACGGATGGAAACCAATCAAGGAGAGAAACAATCTAGAACTAAGGAGAATTTTCCTGACAGTTAGAACAATTAACCTGTGGAACAGCTTGCCTCCAGAACAACTTCTGGAGGCATGTTGTTCCCCTGGTTAACTGTTCTCACTGTTAGGAAGTTTCTCCTTCATTCCAGGTTGCTTCTCTCCTTGATCAGTTTCCATCCATTGTTTCTTGTCCTGCCCTGAGATGCTTTGGAGAATAGAAGACTGCTTCTTCTTTGTGGCAGCCCCTCAAATGCTGCAAGACTGCTATCATGTCCCCCCTCGTCCTTCTTTTCTCTAGACTGGCCAAACCCAAATCTTGCAACCGTTCTTCGTATGTTTTAGTCTCCAGGCCTTCAATCGTCTTAGTTGCTCTTCTCTGCCCTTTTTCCAATGTCTCAACATCTTTTTGGTAAGGTGGTGACCAAAACCGGATGCAGTGTTCCAGGCCGTGGGTCTTACCAAGGTGTTAATACTTCATGTGATTTTGATCCTGTGCCTCTGTTTGTACAACGGGAGGCGTTAGCTTTTCTGGCTCCTGCCGCACAAGGCTGGCTCGTGTTTAAGTGATCGTCCGCTGGGACTCCAAGGTCCCTCTCACAGTGACTGTTTTGGACCCAGGTCACTGTGAGAGGCACCTTGGAGTCGCAGTGGACAACCTAGCCGTGTATTATGTGACACAATCATCAAAATCCCTTTGTGGTAGAATGAATGTTTCAGGGCATCCATTCTTTCAGGCTACCCTCTGAATTCTCGCTTGTTCCTCTGCTAACAGGGCGCCGGCTATAACGGGTGGATCAACGGGAGGCAAACAGCTCAGAATCTCGATCTCAACAGGAATTTCCCAGATTTGACCTCTGAAGCTTACAGACTTGCAAAGATCCGAGGGGCTCGGATGGATCACCTCCCTATTCCACAATCTTACTGGCTGGGCAAGGTGGGAAACTGCAAGCACACACAGGGTAGAGTCTATCAAAATAAAAAATACAGAGTTGGAAAAGGTCATCTAGTCCAACCCCCTGCTCAAGCAGTAAACCCTCTACCATTTCAGACAAAGGATTGTCCAGTCTGTTCTTAAAAGCTTCCTGTGTTGGGGCATTCACCGCTTCTGGAGGCAGGTTGTTCCACTGCTTAATTGTTCTGTCTGTCCACTATTCCAAAGTCCAACACTGGATCCCTAATGTAGGAAAAAGCGGTGGTTGTTCCAGTACAAATTTTTAACTAGCAAATCTTAAAATGACCCATTTTTAATTTCACAGACCGTCGCAACTCGTACTGGGGCTCAGGTTTTCTTTTAAAGCCATCTAGAGCCCACCTCCCTATATTTTATATCAATGGGCATTTCTGAATAGCAATAACACTTAGACTTATATACCACTTCACAGTGCTTTACAGCCCTCTCTGAGCGGTTTACAGAGTCAGCATTTTCCCTCGAACAATCTAGGTCCTCATTTTACCAACCTCAGAAGGATGGAAGCTTGAGTCAGCCTTGAGCTTCTCAGGATCGAATCCCTTGCAGTGAGCAGAGTTAGCTTGCACTATTGCATTCTAACCACTGCACCCTCATGGCTCTTGATATATATATATATATATATATGTGTGTGTGTGTGTGTGTGTGTGTGTGTGTGTGTGTGTGTGTGTATATATATAGAGAGAGAGAGAGATTGTAAATAGACAGAAGAGAGAGAAAGAAGATAGATAGATAGATAGATAGATAGATAGATAGATAGATAGATAGATAGATGATAGTTAGCAATAGCACTTAGACCAGGCATGTCAAACTGCCAGCCCACAGGCCAGATGCGTCACACTGAAACCGTGCCCACCCCATTGCCGGCAATGGAGAAAAAATCGCGATACATTGCGATACATCATGATATGACGTCATGAGTTTGACATGCCTGACTTAGACTTATATACTGCTTCACAATGCTTTACAGCCCTCTCTAAGCAGTTTACAGAGTCAGCCTATTTGCCCCCCCCCCGCAACAATCTGGATCCTCATTTTACCGACCTCGGAAGGATGGTAGCTTGAGTCAACCTTGAGCTGGTCAGGATCGAACTCCTGGCAGTGGGCAGAACTAGCCTGCAATACCACATTCTAACCACTGCACCATCATGAATCTTGAGGTAGATAGATAGATAGATAGATAGATAGATAGATAGAGCGATAGATAGATAGTGATAGACAGATATTGTAGATAGACAGAAGAGAGACAGAGAGATAGACAGATAGATGATAGATAGATAATAGTTCGCAAAAGCACTTAGACTTACATACCGCTTCACAGTGCTTTACAGCCCTCTCCAAGTGGTTTACAGAGTCAACCTATGACCCCCAACAATCTGGGTCCTCATTTTACCGACCTCAGAAGGTTGGACGTCTGAGTCGACCTTGGTCCAGTCAGGATCGAACTGCTAGCTGTAGAATGCAGAGTCAGCCTGCAATACCGCCTTCTAACCACTGTGCCACCAGGGCTCTTTGAAGCATCCTTAGCCATCCTTTCTTCCTGTGATCCTTTTGAACCCAATTTTCAGGTGGCCCCAGAGACCAAAGCAGTGATGAAATGGATGAAGTCTGTGCCATTTGTGCTGTCTGCCAGTCTGCATGGGGGCGATTTGGTCGTTTCTTATCCTTACGATTACTCCGTCCACCCTACGGAAGATAAGATGTTTTCTCCAACCCCGGATGAGAAGGTAACGCCACGGGAATATGGTTTTAAAATACTCGACTAAAATATAAAGATAATAGGAACGAGGAAAAGAAAGGATGCATATTTTTCATTTTTTTGCCAAAGTGGAGCCCTCTGTCTCATTTTTTTCCTCCCCCTGTTTAAAAAAATTAGGCTTCACTCGCCATTCCCAAACGATGCCGTTTCACGAGGATGGAATCCAACAAACGGCAAGCAAATATTCATTGATGTACTTCTAATTAAATTAATTGGCCACCCGACTCCCGGGGACAGTTTATAGAGTTTTAGAAAATTAAAATGAGAAAACACACAGGAAACACCCCCCCCCAAAAAAAACCCAAGAAGGAACAACATCAAGTGGAACAAAAGAGAAAGAAGAAGAAGGGAGGGGGCGGTGGTCCTTGCCAACAGCCTGGTCAAAGAGCCATATCTTTAGTAGGGAGGTGGGGGCTATTCTGGCTGACCACTCCATGGCCCAATTCATCTTCTGCTCCCCAGTCTCTGGGGTTGTGAACAGACCACAACATTTACCCACAAAGAAAGGAGAAAAATGGGATGCTCTACATAGGGCTGCCCTTGAAAAGCTCCTGTTGGTGCAAAATGCAGTGGCCTGCATAGTTTTGTGCAGCGCTCAGTATGCCCATGTGTCACCTCTCCTGCAGAGAGCTGCCTGGCTTGCTGATTTGCTTCCGGGTGCAATTCAAGATGCTGGTTGTCACCTTGAAAGCCCTTCATGTCTTGGGACCAGGTTATCTGAGGGACCGTCTCTCGCTGGTCACGTCCACCTGACCCACTAGAGCGGGGAGGCCAGGAATGTTGGGGGTCCCATCTGCTAAGGAGGTCCATCTGGAGAAGAAGGGTCTTCTCCGTGGTGGCTCCCTCCCTGTTATTTTGAAGGACCATCATTTCCCAGTTATATCCATCTGACCCACTATAGCAGGGAGTCAGAGGATGTTATGGGTCCCCCACTTTAAGGAGGTCCAGTTGGTGGGACCCAGAAGAAGGGCCTTCTCCGTGGTGGCTCCCTCCCTCTGGAACATTTCCTGTTGTTGAGGCCACTGGGAGGATTATTGAACAGCCTTCTCTCAACAGAGGGGGGCATACGATACCATCTACCTCCAGTCTACCACACAGTCCTTTCAGCAGTTCCAAGAAGGCTCCACACCCATTTGCACCGCTCAGGTGACCTTGAGGAAACAGATAAGCCTCCAAGTGGCCTCAACGACTCTCTAAAAGAAGGCAAATGACCGGCTGTCTGCAAGGAGTATAAATCCTTCCGTTCCCCACCATCCAGCCAGAGCTGAAGAAGCTTCTGGGATGAGATGCGAAACGTCTTCAAAGAAAAACCAGAAACTCCAGTTGCCTCCTGAAAAAACAGCCCCTTTGGGATCTGAAGTGAGAGCTTTTCTTTCTGCAGAAGCCAGAGCTTTGCCTGGGGCTGTAGGTCAGCTGAGGGTCCCGTGGCTTTGGGAGACTTCTCGAAGGCAGCCCAGCACTGTGAACTGAATGCACGGAACATACCGGAGTTTGATCTACAAAGCAAATTTAATTAATCTCATTTTAGATGTTCAAGCTCCTTTCTAAAACCTACGCAGACGCGCATCCTGGAATCTCGGACAAATCAGAAATGCGTTGTGGTGGAAATTTCGTGAAACGAGGAGGCATCATCAATGGGGCTGAGTGGTACAGCTTTACCGGAGGTAAAACTTATATATATATGTATGTATGTATGTATGTATGTGTATATATATATATATATGTAGGTCTTTGGTTGTTCGGGTTTTCTCCCGCATAAAATTGGAAGTGTCTTGGCGACGTTTCGACGAAGTCCCATTCGTCATCTTCAGGCTGATGTTTTCAGCTTCGTGCTTCGAGCAGCAATGTGTGGTCTTAGCTCCCACCCAATCAGTTCATACCCCCACTGGCAGTTAAAAGGAAGAAACAGCTAAGACCACACATTGCTGCTCGAAGCACGAAGCTGAAAACACCAGCCTGAACCCGCGAAAACCTCAGAAAACCTTGACATTTTTTAACTGCTATACTGCAGTTTTACTTTTTACAATCTCTTTTGCCTTGCAGCCCCCAACTAGATCACTGCATAGTATGTAAACTGCCCAGGTTCTAATCCCATAAAGGGTGTGGCTAACTGACGAGAGCAGAATGAGCTCAAAATGGCCATCTTAGTCTCCCAATTTAATTCTTTAATTCTTTGTCAGAAAAAGATATTTGGATATATATATATATGTTTTCTAACTGGCCGTAGGAGGAAAACGCCTGGAGAAGGGGGGAAGTGCACGTCATCGCTCCATAAGTGAGAGAGAAAACCTACCACTTAAAAACGGGGGCTACCTCGGTGGAGCCATAGCCATCGAAAAACCCATATGTCTTGCTGGTTGTGTTAATGCAGGCATGCATAATTTACAAGGCCCCCCGAACCAAAAGACAGTCTGGCTGCTGCATACGAGAGCCTGCGACCGACCAACTCCATTTCCGACATCTTGGGCAGGCAGCAAAACCAGCCTCACGATGATCGCAAAGGAGGGCTAATCGGGTCCAGCAAGAAACTTTCTGATGACTTCAGAAGGGGGGGGGAAACCCCTCAATGTTTTGTAGACCAGGGTCTGTGGACCAGTCTGTTTTGTAGACCCCCGGTCTGTGAACCGGTACCAGGCCGCAGTATGCCAACAACTGGTCCGCACAAGCCCCATCCGCGGGATGCAGGCAGTACACAAAACCACACACTCTCCGGTCCGCAGAAAAACCTCCCTCCACGGAACTGGTCCCTGTTGGCCCAAAGGCTGGGGGTCGTCTGTTGTAGATGCTTGCCTAAAAAAACAGACCTTCAACTGGAGGATCCCCTGCTTGGCTGAGCCTGGCCCATGGCTGGTGCCATTGTCTGCGTGTTTGCAGTGATCCAGCTGATTCCTGACCTGGCTGTGAAGGCGCTGGGTGTGTGTGTCTTATTTGTGGTATCTGTTCTAGATAATCCTTACTTGCAATTTAGTGACCGTTTAGTGACCGTTCAAAGCTCTGAAAAAAGGAACTTAGCACCGTTTTTTACACTAATGTCCATTGCCACATCCCTGCGGTCACGTGATCAGAATTCAGACGCTTGGCCACTGACTCATATTTATGACGGATTGCAGCATCCCCGGGGGTCACGTGATTTTGGTCTCCGTTGTGCTCATACGTCGAGGACCACCTTTGTGCACATTTGGAACTGGGTGTGACTTAAGCCAGCCTTAGCTTATTTTCGAATCGTTCTTGAATACCAGTTGGCGGTGTAAATTTATTCCCCCGTGGTGTGTGCCCGACACTCTTTTTAAAACCTAAAGGCAGGTAGTTCAGAAAATCTTTTACACAGCGTGCGTTGTTGATGTACCATTTGTAACTCCGCCATTCAGATGCACAATCTCAGCGCCTCTGATGTGGTAGATTGTGTAGCATTATCCCTCCACAGCATGCCCTGAAGATCAGGCATATCCACAAGCGCTTTAATTTTTATGTGCTTGTGAGTGAACTGCGTATGCTACTAATGTTATGCCACTTACAATTCAGAATTGTTTCCCCAATTTTATTATTCCCGTTTTAAAAAATAGTTTGGATAAAGACATGCTTAAAAGGTATCGATTGATCAGCCTTTTAGTGTCCTTCTTTTTCCAGGAATGGCAGATTTTAATTATCTCCACACAAACTGTTTTGAAATTACTTTGGAGCTTGGATGCGAGAAGTTCCCTTTGCCTGATGAGCTGTACAAACTGTGGCACGAGAACAAGGAGGCCCTTTTGAAATTCATGGAAATGGTACCTCTTTTTTTTCCCCTCGACTTCTCTCTTCTTTCTGTCACAGACGTCTCCACCAAAACAAGAGTTTGTTCACATTTGCAGTCAGTGGGAACAGAACAGAATAAAATATGTAAAGGATAGGATAGGATAGGATAGGATAGGATAGGATAGGATAGGATAGAATAGAATATGGAAAGAATAGAATAGAATAGAATAGAATAGAATAGAATAGAATAGAATAGAATAGAATAGAATAGAATAGAATATGGAAAGAATAGAATAGAATAGAATAGAATAGAATAGAATAGAATAGAATAGAAAATAGAATAGAATAGAATAGAATAGAATAGAATAGAATAGAATAGAATAGAATAGAATAGAATAGAATAGAATAGAATAGAATATGGAAAGAATAGAACAGAACAGAACAGAACAGAACAGAATAGAATAGAATAGAATATAGAATAGAACAGAACAGAATAGAATAGAATATGAGTGTGGAGCCTTCTTGGAACTGTTGAAAGGACTGTGATGTATTTAAAAGACAAAGTCCACTCTTTTGAAGACAAGTCCACATTTTGGACAGAGAGGACCGCTGGTTTGAAAGAAGGGTCAAAGTCAAAATTGTCAAAATTGTACAGCTCTCCCTCAACAGAGGGGAGGGATATGACATCCTCTATCTCCAGTCTACCACACCGTCCTTTCAGCAGTTCCAAGAAGGTCCACCCCCATTTGCACCACTCAGGGGACCCTGAGGACACAGACAAAGCTCCACGTGGCCTCAACGACCCTCCAAAAGAAGGCAAATGACCAGCTGTCTGCAAGGAATATAAATCCTTCCCTTCCCCACCATCCAGCCAGAGTTGAAGAAGCTTCTGGGATGAGAAGCGAAATGTCTTCAAAGAAAAAGTCCAGTTGCCTCTTGAAAAAACACCTTTGGGATAGACTTCATATGATTGTCCGCATAATAATTTCCTTGTTTTGCTGCCCTAAAAATAGAAGCATTTGTAGGGACTTGGAAAGGCCATCCATCCATCCATCTTCCTGGATCTCAGTTTGTCTTCTCTGGTGGACATTTTCATCTGTCTTACCTAATAAGTTCTGTCTGGAGGTTCTCCTCTGAGAGCTTTTGGAGTCACCAGCCCAGCTGAGTTTTCTAAAAAGGTGATCAGAGCAGGAACCGCCACCAATTCCACCGAAGGGACACAAGACCATCTTTGCTAAGTAATAGTAGTAAAGTTAGAAGGGACCTTGAAGGTCATCTAGTCCAACCCCCTGCTCAGGCAGGAAACCCTACACCATTTCGGACAAATGGCTGTCCAGTTTCTTCTTAAAAACTTCCAGTGTTGGAGCATTTACTGCTTCTGGAGACAGGCTGTTCCACTGATTAATTGTCCTCACTGTCAGGAAGTTTCTCCTTAGTTCTAGGTTGCTTCTCTCCTTGATGAGTTTCCACCCGTTGCTTCTTGTCCTGCCTTCAGGTGCTTTGGAAAATAGCTTGATTCCCTCTTCTTTGGGGCAGCCCCTGAGAGATTGGAAGACTGCTATCATGTCCCCCCTTGTCCTTCTCTTCGTTAAACTAGACATACCCAATTCTAGCAACTGTTCCCAGTCTCTTTCACCCAGAACATGGCTTTTCAGACAATTGAAACGCTTTCCGCAGCCGCAAATCCAGCTCGTGCTTTTACCTTTCAATAAAATAGGATTCCGTTTGGTTTTAAGCTTGTCTTCAGCTAATCTGTTCCGTAAATCCAAATGGAAGTGGATTACGTCTACTTGAAGCCTCAGAGAGGGGGGGGGGAATCCTATATTAGCCGTGACTGTGCCAACCCACTCCTATTGTATATAGTCGTCGGCTGTTATCCCACCCACCCCATCAGCCCTGACCTCACCTCCCCAGGGAGCAATCAGACTTAAAAGCAACAAGATTAAGCAAAAGGATCACGGGCTCATTTCACACCCCCTTGTTCAAATGGCTTGTCTCTCTTTTTTTTTTCCTTTTTTTTTTTTCCATTGCCCTAGAGACAGGGAGATTTTGTGCACAATGATACATCTTCAGCTGGTAAAATTTGCAGGCAATGCCAATCTCGTCCCAAAGACTGGGTGCCTGGCAAAGACCAGACAGAATTTCTCCTGCACTCATAATGTCCCCTTTTCAGGAGGCAACTGGATTTCCTTTGTTTTTCTTTGAAGACGTTTCGCTTCTCATCCCAGAAGCTTCTTCAGCTCTGATTGGATAGTGGGGAATGGAAGGATTTATACTCCTTGCAGAAAACTAGTCATTTGCCTTCTTTTAGAGCAGGGGTTCTCAACCTGTGGGTCGGGACCCCATTTGGGGTCGAACGACCATTTCACGGGGGTCGCTAAACAACGCAGTCCGCCATTTTTTTCCCCTTTTCCTTAGCTGTGCTACTCCCTTTTATTCTATTGGCTTTTGAAAGCCAATAGAATAGACCAATGATTCTCAACCTTTCTAATGCCGTGACCCCATAATACAGTTCCCCATGTTGAAGACAATATCAATTTTGGGGGGGGGCTACTAAAAACAGCAAGGGAACATATCACAGCCATTTCTTAAGACTTTAGCATTCATGAACTAGAATTCTGTCATTAAATCGGTTGGACAGCAAAGGGAAGCCCACACAACCTCTTAGAGTAGGAAATGGATGATGGGTGTGAAGAGAAATGAGGAAGGAACATAAAAGAATCACGACTTAATCACCTTCTTCTGATTCTGGGCAGGTTCACCGTGGCATAAAAGGAATTGTATCTGACAAATTTGGAAACCCAATCAAGAACGCCCGGATTTCAGTGAAAGGCATCCGCCACGATATTCTTACAGGTAACAAATTTGGAGAAGCAAACTTTTGGGTTTAGATTTTTCCCCTCTGGAATGTTACGCAACCTTTCGCCTGGAAAACAAACTATTGTGTTGATTGATTCACCTATTTTTGCATCCCAACTTATTCCACTTACAAAATCCAAAAACAATAAATGTTACCTTTGAAAAGGGGGGGGGGGAAACAACCACAGAATTAAAACACATTCCAGAAATATCTTATGTTAGTATCTCCAGTAATCCAGCAACGCAGACCTCTCTTGATGAGCACATTTGAAAACTCCAAGCAGCTTGATTTCGTGATTTAAGCGCCCTATCCGGAGCCAACACAGAGTTCTCTCTGCCTCTTTCATATCTCATTACACAGTGTTCCCTCATTTGTTGATCAATAAATTATTTAAGTGCACTTTCAGCCTTGGATAATGTTCTACAAGCGTCCGAATGTTGGTCGGGTGACGATGGGGCGGCTGCAAAAGTCACAACTTTGAAACACGGTCCTAAGACCCCTTTTTCAGCGCCGTTGTAACTTTGAACGGTCGCTAAAGGAACCGTTGTAAGTCAAGGAGCAACCTGTATTTTAGCCTCCGTGGTTCCAAGCAGAATTTTATTTGATTTTTTAAATAAATGTTTTATTAATTTTCTATTTTCACAAACAAGCGCTCAATAGACAACATGATAACTGAATCCATTAGTAATTCGGTGATACATACAATAGGGGCCAAAATTGTGGAAACCTTTTGGGAAAAGTGTATTTTTTGAGGTCTGATGGCTAATAACACCACTTTTTTGGGGGGGGGGGAATAGTACCATAAAATTATATATCAATGGAAAGATAATTTAATCAAGAATGTAATGCAACAAAGTTTGTTCAATTGTCTGTACTGTATCCTATGAAAAGTTATAGCTGAATAACCAGAAAAAGGAAGCACAACTTGCTTAGGTTGATCTCAGGTAGCTTTCCTTCATCTGACTGTAGCCAATGAGCATGAGCTTTTAGAGAGCCAATCAGGTGTCCTCTTCTTTTGCCAATGAGCCAATCAGATCACAGTAGGATCCAGTTATTGATGTCCTGTATTGAAGCTGAGAGGAGGACATTGGTCAGTGTGTTATATGATCGCTATCAAGTTGGTGGGGGGGTTTTTTGTGTTCTTTCATTCAGTGAGCTTGTAAAATGTAATAAAATGTAATAAAATTAAAAGTAATGGTGCAAAGAGTTGACTGGTTGCCCAGAAACGATGTAAAATAGTATTCTTAAGTGAGCAAGGCTACAGTTATAAAGAAATGAGAAGAAAAATGGGTGGAAACTTAACCAAAGGTGGTTACTGCTTCTACTGTACACTTTTCCCAAAAGGTTTCCACAATTTTGGCCACTACTGTATAAGCAGAATTTTAAAGACGAAAGAAGGTAAGTTCAAAGCCCCGAATTTGGGTTCTGCCATAGGCAAAGTAAAACCGGAACGAATGTCCCAGAAGTTCAAATTGGACTATCCCTGTCCTTTAAATTGAGATGGTACGGTGTTGTGGTTCCAGCTAATGAAACATTCCAAAGAACTTCCAGGCATTGATTTTCCTAAAAGTCTTTTATTGTTACAAAATGTCGGCACAGGCACAACGGAGGGATGCTAGGATCTAAGTTCTCTTCCTCTGAGCAGTTCAATTATCAGCATGTTCCCTCCCTAAATTAGCCGTCATATCTCACATTATCCAATTAGTGTGAAGGTCAAATGTTTTCTTCCTCTTTCTTTCCCGGGCTTTACCCCCAACGCCCCTTCTGCTCTTTATTAACCCCCTATTTACCAGACAATTCTGCATATTGTCAAAAGCAAGAATATACAATATTTGCAGCGTTGACATACGGTTGTTTTTTGTTTCATTTTAGCGGATGACGGAGATTATTGGAGACTTCTGCCCCCTGGCACCTACATCGTGAGTGCCCAGGCCAGGGGCTACAGTAAAGTCCTGAAGAAGGTGACTTTGCCTGCAAAGATGATAAGAGCTGGTCGGGTCGACTTCATCCTGCAAGCCGTCAACGGAAAGTTTAGAAAACTTCCCGCGAGGCGGGCCTATGACCCTTTGGAAGACTTTGATCCTCATGCCCGGACAGAGTTAAGGAAGAACGAAGAGCGATCAGTCGGGGCAAGGGAGAAGCCTTGGTGGTGGCCATATTTCAGTTCTCTGAATCAGCAGAAACCTTTGTGGTTGCTGAAGCAGAGCTGAACTATTTTATCCTGCGCCCGTCCCCGGCTACGCTGGTGGTTCCCAGTGGTATTTCCATTGCTACCTGGCCCAGAACTGGAATGGAATGGGACTCTGTTGATCTAACATGGCTTCTCTTATCCTTTCCTGCATTTCGTTTTCTCCTCTGCATTAAAATTTGCTATGTATTAAAATTTTTAAAAAAACTCAATGTAGTGGTTGTTTCCATATTACGGTGTTTTCCTCCTTCCAATGTCATTAGTCACCAGACTGATTATTTCTCAACGACTAGAGAGTGTGCTTTAAAGTTTGTGATCCCTTTTGACATTTCCAGGAATAATAATAATAATAACAACAACAACAACCACTTGAACACCATTGGCATTGACAAATTTGCCATTAGTCAATTGCAAAAGGCGGCCATACTAGGAACCGCCTCCATCCTGCAACGATATCTGTAATAACATCATACATCCACATCTGCCTATCCCAGGTCCTTGGGAAGGACTCGATAGGTAGACAAAATGCCAAATCCAGTCTGAACATCTGGCTGACTGTGCAATGATTAATAATAATAATAATGAAGAAGAAGAAGAAGAAGAAGAAGAAGAAGAAGAAGAAGAAGAAGAAGAAGGAGAAGGAGAAGGAGAAGGAGAAGGAGAAGGAGAAGGAGAAGGAGAAGGAGAAGGAGAAGGAGAAGGAGAAGGAGAAGGAGAAGGAGAAGGAGAAGGAGAAGGAGAAGAAGAAGAAGAAGAAGAAGAAGTTGGAAGGGACCTTGGAGGTCATTGAGTCCAACCCCCTGCTCAGGCAGGAAACCCTATACCATTTCAGACAAATGGCTGTACAGTCTCTTCTTAAAAACTTCCAGTGTTGGAGCATTCACCGCTTCTGGAGGCAGGTTGTTCAGCTGGTTAATTGTTCTGACTGTCAGGAAGTTTCTCCTTAGTTCTAGGTTGCTCCTCTCCTTGATTAGTTTCCATCCGTTGCTTCTTGTCCTGCCCTCAGGTGCTTTGGAGGATAGCTTGACTCCCTCTTTCTTTCTCCCTAAGAAATTCTGCCATGAGCTAAGGAGGATGCTAAATTTTGAGGGCCATCTGACGGAAAATAGCCCGTGGGTCATTTTAGAACTTTGATCCAGCAGAGATCGATCAGGAAAAGGAACGGGCAAATGCAGTAAATTGTCCAAGGAAAATATTAACCCCGCCTGGGACTTTAGAACAGAGATGACCAACCTTTTGGGTACCAGGGACCGCTTCTGTGGAGAAACATTTTTCCACGGACCGGAGAGTATGTGTGGTTTTGTGTGCTGCCTGCATCCCGCAGATGGGGCTTTGCTTGTTTGTGTGGACTGGTTGCTGGCATGCTATGGCCCAGTACCGGTCCATGCACCAGGGGTTGGGGATCCCTGCTTTAGGGAACAAAAAAGCAACTTTGTGGTGAAACAATGAGGAAATATCAAGGTAAAATGCATGGCAAATCTTGGCTGCCTTATGTTGTGGAGGACACCAATTTAGACAGCTTTTGAAAAAAAAAATCAGATCTCAGTCTTAAAGGTCAGCCACCCTCCAAGTAGTGGTTGCTGTGAAGGGGAGATTTTTGCCATCATGAATTTCTGTCTTGGTTGCTCTTAATATCTTTTGTCAGGGAATTGCGCAGCGGGTGTCCAAATGAAGTCAGAGACGCTGACACGAACTTGTAGTTTCATATAAATAAATATATTTTACAGCACTACATACAGCAAACAAGACAGTCAGGCACACAGGAATATAATGAGGGAAATTACAGAGATTCTCAGTCATCCAGGTCATGGCTGTCCCAAAGGCGCTTTTTCAACTGGACTTCCTGGTTTTTCTTTGAAGATGTTTCGTTTCTCACCCAAGACGCTTCTTCAGCTCTGACTGGGGAATGGAAGGATTTATACTCCTTGCAGAAAACTGGTTGTTTGCATTCTGTTAGAGAGTCATTGAGGCCACTTGGGGGTTTGTCTGTGTCCTCAGGGTCACCTGAGTGGTGCAAGTGGGTGTGGAGCCTTCTTGGAAGTGCTGACAACACCGTCCTTTCAGTAGTTCCAAGAAGGCTCCTCATCCATTTGCACTACTCAGGTGACCATGAGGACACAGATTAAACCTCCAAGTGGCCTCAGAGACTCTCTAAAAGAAGGCAAATGACCAGCTGTCTGCAAGGAGTATAAATCCTCCCATCCAGTCAGAGCTGAAGAAGCTTCTGGGATGAGAAACGAAACATCTGCAAAGAAAAACAAGAAAGCCCAGATACCTTGTGACAAAAAGCATCTTTGGCATAAAGCACACAGAAGAAAAAGGCGGGGAAAAAAGGGAAATTCCCCCTCCACAGCCACAGCAACTAATCGCAGTGCAGATTGCCTCAGGCAGGCACTATCAACTCTGTGTTCTGGCTCATTGTTCCAGCTACTAAATTTAAACATCGTATTTCCATGGTGCTGGGGGACTGTCCTGTCTGAAAAACAGACTCCCACACTCTTCTCCACATGTCTGGCCAAGTCCTGAAAGCTACCGAATGTATTTTTATTGATTTATAAACGCCTAGAGTTGAAACCCTCCTTCCCTTTGTGTTTCTCCTGGGCTGTCTTCTCTCTCCTTTGCACTTGCTTTTCCTTCGTCTTCTCCCCCTTCCTGTTTCTTCTCAGAGTGTCAAGTGGTCCTCCCTCTGGCCAGGGTTACTTCAGGCCTCTAAAACTGCATCCAGCTGCCCATTACGGATGACGAAGGCTTCTGAATTGTTGGAGTCCGGCCCAGTTTGCTTTTCCTTCTCCTCCACCGCCATGTTTTTTGGGGTTCTCTGAAGACGGACTTCAGCACGAGCCTGAAAGCTCAGAAGAATAGACCTCCAGTTCCAGGGGCCGACCCAGGTTGGATCCTGCAGAATTATCCTGGGACATGTACATTCGCCTTCATCCGTCATTTTTCAGTCTTCACGGATTCATTTTTTTTCCTCCTTTGGTGTTCCCAAGATAGGTGATCGAACTTGGCATCTCAGCCTCAATGACTTGAATGGCTCCCTGTCATTTATCAAAGTCCATTTTATACCCGCCACGAGTGCAATGAATTGCGTTCGGAGAGCTGGGTCCATGGAGAACGTTCAGCGTTGCCTGAGTGCTTGGAAAACACCAATTCCCCAAAGTAGAAACCCTGACTTGGCCAGGCACATCTGGATCCCATACACCCTGCCAAAAAATAAAGCTTTGCTTGAAAGGAATGCCATGTGAACTTCTGCATGGACCACAGCCGTCACAGGGAAGCACCTTGGCTGAGAAAAACCCACCCCCGCTTCTTCTCAAGTCAGCCCAAACAGGTGGGATTTCCCAGACTTGGAAGGACACAGGTCAACTGCCGGAGAAGGAGAAAATCCAGCTGGCCCCAAGATGTGCTGGAGAGCCGAAGGGCAGGAGAAGCAGGAAATATCCCCCCACACATGGTCTCCTGCATTTCCAGCCAGGTCAGCAGCCCATCTTAAAGAGATTAAGGGTGACGTTTGAGGAAGCAAAGCAGAGGCGAGCAGCATTGGAGACGGGATCAAGCAAGTCTGGATTACAGCTTGGTGCCACCAAATGCTGGGATTCAATGATGAGGGAAGACTTAGCAGTGACCTGGAGATATTCGTAAAGCATCTCCTGAGAGGTCCATGCTGGGCTCAACCTAGCAGCACAGCGTCTTCAAAAGTGTTTCCAAATTGACCTCTGGCAACTGACTGTTCATTTGCAGTTTGTTTTCTGTTCTGTTACTCCTCCGTATTGTTAATAGTTGAACATTGGGCTCTATCAAAATGAAATCCAGTGGTGAAAAAAAAGTAAGGTTCTACATTTAGGCCAGAAAAACCAAATGCACAGTTATAGTATAGGTCAGGGGTAGGCAACCTTGGCTCTTTTATGACTCGTGGACTTCAACTCCCAGAATTCCTGAGCCAGCATGGCTCAGCTTGGAAACCTCTCCCTTTCCCCTCAACATAGCTGGCTCAGGAATTCTGGGAGTTGAAGTCCACCAGTCATAAAAGAGCCAAGGTTGCCTACTCCTGGTATAGGTGGTCTCTGGCTCAATAACAGTGAGAGGGATCTTGGAGGCCTAGTGGACGAGCACTTAAATATGAGCCAGTCGTGTGCTGCAGCTGCCAAAAAAAAGCCAATGTAATCTTGGTTGCATCAACAGAGGGATAGAATCAAGATTATGTGATGTGTTAATATCACACTATAACGCCTTGGCACACGTGGAATTCTGCATCTAGTTTTGATCACCACAATGTGAAAAAATATAGAGATTCTAGAAAGAGTGCAGAGAAGAGCAAGAAAGATGATTAGGGGACTGGACTGGAGGCTAACACATATAAAGAATGGTTGCTGGAATTGGGTACGTCTAGTTTAATGAAGAGGAGGACGAGGGGGGACATGATAGCAGCGTTCCAATATCTCAGGGGCTGCCACAAAGAAGAGGGAGTCAAGCTATTCTCCAAAGCCCCTGAAGGCAAGACAAGAAGCAACGGATGGAAACTCATCAAAGAAAGAAGCAACCTGGAACTAAGAGAGAAATTTTCTGACAGTTAGAACAATTAACCAGTGGAACAACCTGCCTCCAGACGGGGTGAATGCTCCAACACTGGAAGTTTTTAAGAAGATTTGACTGAAATTTTATAGGGTTTCCTGCCTGGACAAGGGGTTGGACTAGAAGACCTCCAAGGTTCCTTCCCACTCTTTTATATATCTATCAAATAAAAGAGACTTTGGGTTCCTGTCTATAAACATTTAAGGCCAAATCAAGATTATGGGCATCTGAAAAAAATACATTCATATCTTTTCCCTAGGCCAGAGGTAGGCAACCTTGGCTCTTTTATGACTGGTGGACTTCAACTCCCAGAATTCCTGAGCCAGCCACGCTGAGAGAAAAGGGAGAGGTTTCCAAGCTGAGCCATACTGGCTCAGGAATTCTGGGAGTTGAAGTCCACCAGTCATAAAAGAGCCAAGGTTGCCTACCCCTGGTCTAAACTAATAAAGTCTACATTAATTAACATTAATTATGCTTTCATATGTTCCTCTAAATGAGGGGTCTTCAAACATGGCCCTTTTATGACTCGTGGACTTCAACTCCCAGAATTCCGGAGGCAGCCATGCTGAGGGGAAAGGGAGAGGT